CCCCCCTCCCAGCGCCGCTCAGTCAACAGCCCGAACAACCGACGGTCGGTTTACCTAGCCTTTGTGGAGCCTAGAGTTTTTGTTGAGCCATTATCCAGGTATTGTTATTACCGATTATTCGATCATTATTATTTCATTATTATCATTAACAATGAATAACAATAACTGGACAACGGCGATAATAACTGATTAAAGACGAGGTAAAGAAATTGTCGTAACAGCACGCCCGAGTTACTTTCCTATGCGTAATAGCAATATTTAAATAATAACCGAATAAATTAAATAACAATTAAATAAAGAAGTAATAATACTCGAATATTAAATAGATGATAATAATATTTGGTCGGCATTAAGGAACTCGATCGCGACGTTTCTCTATCTGACAAGTAAAAAGGAAACGCGGAAATTACCTGTCGCGGTAAAGCCCGCAACATCTACTTGCGTGAAGAGTACGCGTCTTGAGATATCTTAATTATCGTTTTAATTGTCGCGGAGTCAAGTAACGCGGCACAGAATAATCTAGAAAATCGGCACGGAATAATCTAGAAAATAACGCGGCAACTCCTAATGCGTTCGCCTCGACGGTTGAGAGTGTTATGGTATAACGCTCGAGCACGTGTTCGCGCACGCGTGTTTACATGACTCGGCCGCGCGGCCCCTCAAGCGCCGTTTAGTCAGCGGCACGAGCCGGCCGTTACGATAGTCCGTTCACCTAGCCTTTGTGAAGCCTAGAGTTTTTGTTACCTAGGTATTGTTATTACCGATTATTCGATCATCGTTATTCTGTTATTATCCATTCGCGAATACTATCACACGATTGTCGAGCAAATATTATTATCATTACTATTTAATATTAGAGTATTATTATTTCTTTACTCGATTATTATTTAATTTATTCGGTTATTGTTTAATTATTGCTATTATGGAAAGTATATATATATATATATATATATATATATATATATATAATTTAATTTTATATTTCTTCCAAAAATAATAATAAAAGAGATTTACATGACAACTTTCATTATTATATTTTTTGTTTTTTTAATTTCATGTTTCGTTATTTGTTATATATTACACAGATCATTAACATATAAAACATTAACATAAAATTTTAATATTGTATATGAAAAATAAATTTAATATACTATTAACATAAATATTTTAATATTAAATATGAAAAAATATAAAAATATGTATATTTTAAATATTAAAAAACTAAATAATTATAAATAGAATAATTTTGATAAAAAAATTATAGACTTATACAAAAAGCACTTGGCGTACCTTCTTTTATTGATTAAACAGCTGTCTTATTTTAAAGACGCCTAGGAGTTAATAACAATTAAGGACGCCGAGGAGTTAATGACAATCAAATAATTTAATTAATTTATTATTGTTTTATTTAACCCAAACATGCAAAGTGCTTTTTGTGTAA